CCATAACACCGACTTGACTCGCACGCCTACTCGCTGCAAGGAACAAAGGTACGGCCACTGAATGCCACTTCTTGTCTCGGCACTGCTTCCCTCGACGTAGCAGTGCAAGACACAGTCCGCTCCAGCTCCAATATAAAAACGAATGCAATGTTACGACTTAATTGTTGAAAGAGGACACGGTCTGGAACAAATCAAACTCTTGGTACGAGAAATAGTTGTGCGTCGGCGGATGGCACTGCCAAAGGTGCGGACTCGCGCCGCTCTCGTTGTTGATATCGAGGCAGTACCCCTTGTGGGTCATGTGACGAAGCTGCTTCGTATACACGTCGTACTGCCACTTCTGGTTGGCGTTGGTGTCGCCGCAGCGCCACGTGTGCACGCGGCCGCCGTTCCACGGTTCGTACGCGTCCAAGCAGTTGTAGTCGATCACGGACCGCACTTGGTGAAAGTCGCGGTTGTAATCCCATTCCTGGCGCCACGCAGACGGCAGCGGCGCCTTCGGGTCGGTCGGGTCCTCGGCAGGGTCCTTGGGTAGCACTGGCGCGAACGAAATGGCACCGGCCGTGTCGTTGCGTTCCGTCTTGCTCGTCGTCAAGAGCAGGTTCTTGCGCTGGAAGTGCCCGATCTCCTGGACCACGGACCAGTACTGGTTCTTGTTGATGTCGTGCGAGTGGCACTCCCACACTTGCGCCTGGTGCTGCGGCGCCGTCGGGTCGGCGTCCAGACACAAGTTCGGATGCACAGCGTGTTGGATGCGGTGGTTTGCCATGTCGACGTTCCACCACTGGTTGGCGTTGTTGGCGTCGCACACCCACGTGTGAACAAAGTACTTGCCGTCCTTGGGGTACGCGTCGAGGCACTCGCGCTGGTTGCTGTTGGACCGCAGTTGCTTGGTGTCTTTGTTGAACAGCCACCACTCGTTCATGTTGTCGCGTTTGACGTCAGCAAACAAGTTCGAGTACCATTCGGAGAGGGGGTAGTCTTGGGCCGAGTAGAAGCGCCACGCGACTTCGTTGTCGCTGGCTGCCGACGTGGCGGTGGCAAGCGCAAGGGCAGGTAGCATGTGGATCCCCTTCATCGTGTGATGTGGGCAATGCAAATGCGGAAATGGGAGATGGAGTTGGTATGTTTGGGGGTGGATGTGAAAATTCGAGACTTACATTTCTTTGCGTCGGTCTTGTTCTTCAACTTTCGACGTCGAACATAAGTTGAAGGGCTATGGTGCTATATCTCAGGTCGTTCGGATCACTGGGTTGCAAGTTAGAAGACGAGATTGCGCCTGCTATTTCGCCATCGACTGCTCCGAGGCGGGTGAAGTAGTGTGCGCGCTGTGTAGCCGGCCTGTGAGTGCTCAAGCACCGTTTTCGTGAGGATGCGGATTGGCGGGCCTCGCTGCTGGTCATATGTCGTTGTGGGACTGACATGCCAACATGACATTCCACGGAAAGCTTGAAATTCAACCCGCATGCCAACAAATAGCGGCGCCGCGACATGGATGGAAGAGATCCAAGAACGCGCACCTCGTTGGTACCTCGTCAAACCGACCTAGCCAGGAACTCTAGCACAACCGTCACAAGGACGACTGTCGTCGGTTCAGCTGCCTCGCCATTCTCTCCCCCAACTGTTACTACGTTACACTTGGCCTTCGATCACTAAAATATTCACCTCCAGTTCGTACGCTTGGTTCCATTCTAGGAAAGGTGAAAACTTTACATCCAAATCTGTAGTACCCCCACCCCCCAACAAACTTCGATGTAGACAGTCATGCACCTACTATGGCTCTGCCACTTTTACGTTTTCCCGACTCCAAATTTTCAGTCGGCTGCCGCTCTACTTCGTGCAAACGACGACCACACGATCATTTCCCCATTTGCATTGCCCACATCACACGATGAAGGGGATCCACATGCTACCTGCCCTTGCGCTTGCCACCGCCACGTCGGCAGCCAGCGACAACGAAGTCGCGTGGCGCTTCTACTCGGCCCAAGACTACCCCCTCTCCGAATGGTACTCGAACTTGTTTGCTGACGTCAAACGCGACAACATGAACGAGTGGTGGCTGTTCAACAAAGACACCAAGCAACTGCGGTCCAACAGCAACCAGCGCGAGTGCCTCGACGCGTACCCCAAGGACGGCAAGTACTTTGT